CGATTTCCTTTAAATCCTGTTGTGGAATTTTTCAACAAAATCTTCAACGTTTTACTCGGGTGGAGATTTCCTCCCCAAAATTCCCATTGTTATCGAGAAAAGTTTCGGCCGAACATTTTCTCCTGGTTCCACCATTGGCCATCACAGGGTCTCTCAAACCCCTGCACATTTTCCTCGCATCTCCTTGATGCACGAGATGTTTTCCTGCTCAGACCCCCCCTTGTTCTATGTGATTGCTGTCTCTCCTTTGACCTGATCCCTTTCCTGTCTTGTGTTTCCTTTTACCTCTTCTCCTTTTCCCTTTATTTCCCTTCCCCTTTCACTTCTTTCCCTCTGAGTCTGTTCCCTTTCTTTACTTCTTGTTCTCTGCGTACACCATCTTCTACTCTTCCTTTCCCCTCTTCCCTGCTTCTGCTTCCTCCTTGCTCCTCTCTTCCATTCCCTTGCTGTCCTCCCCATCTTTCCCCCTCTGGTTCAGCTCCTCCATTCTGTGCCTCTGCCCTTCTCCACTTCACTGCTGCTGCAAGCAGAGATGCCAGAAATTAACAAGATCGATGGAGCACTGTTGCTTCAATAGATCTCACAGACACCTTGTTAAATTCATTAGCTGTTCTGCTGGGGCATAGCAGCACAGGGCACAGAAGCTGAGGTTAGACGAATGTGCCAGGGCATCTGACAGATGCAAACCAGCCCTGTCCAACAACTCCTGAGTAAAGAGGAGCTGATGCTTCATGGATCACTCTGGGAAATGTTCCTTTGTGTGTGGCAGCCTTTATCTCCTCTATCCTGCGTTTTTCTCTTCTCGTTCCTGAAAATGGTGACGTGAAAACAGACTAGCGGGTGAAATGCTGTCCTGCACCAACATTTCCTCAGCACATGGATGCTCAGGAAACCAACTGTGGCTGTCTTAATTCCTCAGTGAGGCCAGATCTACCCTGTGGTGCAAAGTCGAACTAAAATGAACAACTCCAGCTATGAGACTAGCATAGCTGGAGTCGACCTGGCTTAGTTCAACTTACTGTGGCATCTCCTCTGCAGATGTTCACTGACCCTCATGACCTGGTGGAGTACCAGATTTGACAAGAGTGCGATCAGCAATTTATTTAGCATGTCTTTACTAGACCCGCTAAATCAATCCCTCGGGTATCGATCTTTGAAGCTGTCGATTTAGCAGCACCGAATTTCCAGTAAGTGTAGACGAGGCCTGAGTTTATAGCCGTCTGAGAGATTCTCTAAACTCTGATAGCTGGTACCCGTACTAACACTATGTTGTCCATTCCCCGGCACTGCCACAATGTGTTTCTTCTCAGCTGGCCAAATCCAGCTGTTTTGAAAACCCTTCACAACCCCAGAGCAGCACAAAGGGGCTGGAACCCTGAGGGTATCTAGAGCTTTTTCAATTACATTTCCTCTGTTTAAAACTTTAACTGGAAAGAAAGATCCATGTTCTATTCCAAAGTCATGGTTTTGTGAATATTAACTCCTGAGCCATTCTTCCAAGATTAATGATATATTTCAAACGATATCCATACTGCTTCTCCATATGTTCTTTAAAGTCTCAATGGTTCAGCCCTTAAAACAGTGAGCCCTTTCTCATGCATATAACTCCAGTGAAGTCAGTGAGAGTGTGAGCCTGTTGGCTTGAGAACCAACATGAATAAGTCTTACCCAGCTGAGTCCTAAGTACTATCCATGGTGTGCTATTAATTTATAAACAGAACTCACCATTAAAATCAATGGGGAATTTTCTTTACAATTTTTAATTGTCTTTAAAATTGAATGCATACTATTACAATGCTACAGTACAGCACATGCTATATAGTTCTATAAGCAAGATCTTCACCTGGTATAAATTAGCAAAGGTCCCATGACGTCAGTGTAACTACACTAGTTTATGCCAGTGGAGGATCTGGTCCCATCCATATATTTTTGTGAGCCAATAAGAGACATGGAATCTACAGTGCCCTCAAATGTAGGTTCTTCCACATGGGAAGGTGGGTTCCGAGACGGCTTCTGTCATTGAACAGTTTCACTTTCCAGTGAGATTACACGCTACCTTGGTTTGGTCAGATAATCTGCACTGGAGTTAATAGTGTTCCCGAGACAATTATAACAGGCTAATGGGGAGGGGAGGGAATCAACTAAAAACAAAGCAAAACCCTAAAAGCACAAAGGGCTCCTCCTTAGCTGATGTAAATTAGCAAACCTCCGTTGCCTCCAAAATGAAAATTGTCAAA